GTTATTAATGTGAAGATTCCCGGAGGCAATTGAGAGCACTTTTTAAAATGGCCGCCAAAATTAAATAACAACTTAACAATAGCTTCAATAACCTAGATTAATTTGTTTAATTTACAAAACCTGAATGTAATAACTGCTGTTGACTTTTAAAACCCACAATAACATATTTTAGGGGTGTAAGTTAACTCACTTTTGAAAATGTAAGTAAAAATGCCCCCTTATAATAGCCCTTTTCTGTTTTGAAGAATGGAAAATATCACCAGCATCTTGAAAAAAATTCCAGCTTCCTTACAAATATCCGGTTGTTTTTCATTATTTCTGTGTGCTATACAAGGTATTTCAGGCAACTACCATAATTTTCATGTATGAAGAAGGCATAAATTCATTTACTACATATTTTGCGCAATAATCTTCAGGTATTGCTTTTATCACTGCAATCTGAAAGTCTTCGTATTTATCGTATGAATGTTCAATTCTTGGACTTCCACGGGAATTTCTGCTAACATGGTGGCAACCATGATGTCAGTGATCTTGTCTCTGCAAACCTTTCTATTGAACATGTTACTCGCTTGATTTACACTTTTCTCCTTAACTCCAAGCAGCAGTGAGACATACTCTTGTTCTTCAGACAACTTTTGTGACAGAACATCTAAAATTCCGAAGTTGCTGAAAGTTTCAACAAACTCAGTTTATGATAACAGAAGCTACGTTTTCCTTTACGAAAGAAAGCCGGGGTGTAATTGTCTGTAATACCGATTTCTCGAGAAAAAGATAGGATTATTGCTATGTCTTGGTTGTTATTCGTTAAAGCATGCTTTGCATACAGAAGACTTTCGTGTCGGCTTCTTTTTGGTGGTTCTACGCCAGATTGTAGAACCCCAGGTTGCTGACTTTTATTTCTCTTTGCCAAAACACAGTTTGCCGAATGCCAGTTTGCTGAATCAAAAACTACGAATCCCTGTTTGTTGAAACCCAGTTTGCGCTGAAACCCACTTTGTGGAAAATAAAATAAAAGCCATAAAACATTAACTACAGCATAACATTCATGTTGGAACACTCTCTTACTATGTATTCGTATAAGAAATATCGGCTTATTAGTTTAATAATTCTTTTTCTTTTAATCTGTAAATCAATTAGCTATCAGCAAATAAAATTCAATTTAATAGGTCTCGCAGTTAAAACGTTTTATTAGCATACCTATGATAAATACATGAATTTATATTTAAAAAAATATGAATTTAAAAGGAAATAAACAAATCAATAATAATATACAATTATACACACATGCCAATTGTGGCTCCAGAAATTTGTCGACAGGGGGTCTGACTCAAGGGGCCGACTAGAGCCTCGGTGGTCAGGGACCTGGCACAACAATCTTGATAGAGTTTGCAGAGGGAGTATTTTAGAAGGATACAATGCTTATCCTTAATTTCATTTCATTTTATTTCTAATTTTAACTGATAGCCATGCTTTCAAGTGTGTTTTTCTACAGCTTTGTTGTCTTCAAATATTTTTCTTTTTAATTTGTACACAAATGAAGCTCCTTCGTTTCAAATGCACAGTATGCTGTACTTTTGTAACACAAAACACAGAGATTTGGACTGGGTTTCGGAAAACAGAGTTTTAGGAAAATAGGATTCCATGATTTCAGTGAACTGGAATCATGAAATATCAACCGTTCCATTCTGGAGACATCAATATTGCAGTCGTTGCTACTTTATATCTTATTTTATGACAGCGGAGAGAGAGTCATTCTAGACACAAACACTGGCAAATACCGAAAGTTTTTCAAATTAAGTGACATTAACTTTCACCAGCGAAGAAAGCATCCCTTATTGGATCTCGTGCTTCTGTAGTCAAAGGCAAAGTTTTGTCGACACTTTCTGCAACTTTAAAGTTTTAGATGTTCTGTCACAAAAGATGTCTAAGGAACTTGAAGACTGTGGTATGGAGTTAAGGGGAAAAGTGTAAATCAAGTAAAGATGTGAAATGTTCAATAGAAGCAACAAGATCACAGACATATCATTGCTACCACAATTTTTGCAAGCAGACCCTTGAGCACCTGAGGAAATTTAATCGCTAAAATGGAAATTAAGCAGACGTAAATGATTTGGTCAATAAAAATAGTATTCACAACAGATGGAATGATCAAATGAAGCAAAAAATTATTGAGACAGTGATGCCCATGGACGTCC